ACGGAACGGTTGTGTTCGCATTACAACTTGCGACCGGTGTTATAGATCAACTGGTGGCTAAATCAACTGGTGGTGGCAGCTGGAAAAGACTGATGTTTCTGTGGGCGTGGCTTTTTAGGACCCCTTTACCGAACCAGGAAGTAAACAATGCAATAAGCTTAAAGAACTACAAATCTTTGCAAAAATACTATCCGATTCCGTAAAACAACCACTAAGATCTCGGGAATAACTAATTAGAAAGACTTTATTGGTCTAATATGGTATGTTGCCTTTTTTTTAAAGTTCATCTGCAAAACCATCAAAACGTGTAAATTACGCAGAACTTATCATGACTTATGTGTTGCTTCAGAGGTTGAAACTCGTCAAAGGAAGATCGAAATAGATCTCGATGTGGCATGAGCAGATCTCAAAGCAAAGATTATTCCCTGAAAGCCGACATAAATGTTGAAGAGCCTTGGGATTAAAAATGAAATGTTTAAAAAGATCGACTGGCTGTGTAATTTTTCCTCATATTGTGATATTTCAAATAGGTATCCACAGAAACTATAGCGAAATCTTTTTAACTGTTTCTGTAACGCTACACTTTATTTCCTAGCTGTCATTGATTGTCATATAATGGACACCCCGCGCTTTAAGAACCAGGCCTGGATTAATAGGTGGCACTTTCAGAATCTCAGTTCGAGTGAAAATTTTAACCTGTTTCTGATGTAAAAGTATATAAGACAATTGTTTTTTCAGCGATGTCTCATATGGTTGAGAATTACGGTCACTTGATGAAAAGAATAAAGACGAGAAAAAATATCAACAATAAGGAAGAAATGACACTGCCACATAGATCTGCGGTAGCCATGTCTTCTGTAAATGAGCTAGGAAATAAAGTGTAACATTACAGAAACAGTAGGAGGGGTCCTAAAAAGCCACGCCCACAGAAACATCAGTCTTTTCCAGCTGCCACCACCAGTTGATTTAGCCACCAGTTGATCTATAACACCGGTCGCAAGTTGTAATGCGAACACAACCGTTCCGTGCGAAAGCGCCTAAAATGTCTCAGTAACGCATTGAGATTTCCTGCCTCTGCCATTAAAACCCAGCTTGTTCCTCATGAGGGCGGAACCGACGTCGTGTCACTTAGAAAGTTCTGCTTCTGGCCCCCCAACACCTCTCCACGACCCCTGAGGGGCCGCGCCCCACTGCTTGAGAAGCCTGTACCAGCCCATCATAAACCTCAGATATCGCAGCTGAACAGGCCGGACTGGTGCATCGCTAATTGGAACCGGGTCAGCGGCGGTACCTTGGCAGCGGACGCCACCTCGCTGCAGTCCTCTAGGGCCTTGCTCAGAACCGACACCAGGCGGGTCTCCAGGTCCAGAACCTGCTCCCAGAACTGGTCCAGCTCCAGCTCGAAGGTCTCGGGGAGGGAGAGAAGCGGGTCAGTGAGGGCTCGGCCACAGGAAGTGGGTTGGGGCCGGGGGTCGGCTCACCTGGTCCTCCGGGTCGGTGGGGTCGCAGCTGCAGGCCGACAGCAGCCTCACCTGGACCAGGAAGTCCTGGTACACCTGCTGGATCCCGACGGTGAGCAAGGTGCCGCTGGCGCCGCTCAGAACCGCCTGGTCCAGCTGGTAGAACCGTGCTGTGACCAAGTGCACTTCCTGTTGGACGGAGGGGGTGGAATCAGTCTACAGGAAGTGAGCGACTTCAGATGAGGGGGCAGGGCTACCTGGATGCTGAGCAGGCGGTTCAGGAAGGTGTCCAGGTGGAAGAAGACCAGGTGAGACGGGAAGGTCCAGCTGGGAGTAGGCGTAGCCTGGAGGACAGAGACAAGCTGGACAATGACATCACTCTGGTTCCACCTGGACAGGTGGCCCTGCTGCAGCCCAGTACCTGGTTCTGGTGCTCCAGTTGGGTCTGCTGCTCACAGAAGGCGGACTTGAGAGCCTGAAGGGTCTGGATCACCAGCCGGATGTCCTGGAGAACTGGGCCGGGTTCTGACACCAGAACCCCGATCACTTCCTGTCCAGGGAGGAAGTCCCTGCTCTGCAGGTGAAGACAGGTGAGACATGCTGACATCTTGATGGAATAAAGCAACAGATTCTGAACCAGTGGAGACGGCGAGCCTCCTCCAGGGTTTCCCCAGAACGCTGCTCAGCGCCACCGCTCTGCAGGGGACAGACTCCCTTAGTTAGCTTCTAGCTAGCTGCACTATTAGCTTCTAGCTAGCTGCACTATTAGCTTCTAGCTAGCTGCACTATTAGCTTCTAGCTAGCTGCACTATTAGCTTCTAGCTAGC